TGAATCCCTTCCAGAAGGTTTTCAATTTACTTTGCCCTTATCCATCAGAGAAATCACTGTCTTTGGCAGCACTAGCCTTATGAAATTTATTTCTAAAAGAATACTTGAGGTTGGGTGTAGTGACAACTTAGTGATTTTAAATTTTAAAATGGAAATAGAATTTTTAAAAGGAGTTTTTTGCATTATTAAAAGAATTGCTTAATAGCAGTTTTATTTCAATTCAATCCCAGCACTTTGGGAGGCCAAGGCAGAAAAATCATTTGAGGTCAGGAGTTCGAGACCCACCTTGCCAACATGGGGAAAAACCTTCATTTCTAAAACTACAAAAATTAGCTGGGCGTGGTGGCATATACCTGTAATCCCAGCTAGTCAGGAGGCTGAGGCAGGAGAGTAGCTTAAACCCAGAAGACGGAGGTTGCAGGGAGTCGAGATAGTGCCATTGCATTCCAGAGACAGAGCCAGACTTTGTCTCAATAATAATAATAATAATACTTGAAACTCAAAATTACTCCTGAATCCACGGGCTGCAGAATGGATGCTGGGTTAGCAGGCATGAAAACAACAATTATCTTCTTGTACATCTCCATAAGAGCTCTTGGGTGACCAGGTATATTGTCAATGAGCAGTAGAAAGGAATCTTTTTTCCTAAGCAGTAGATCTCAACAGTGGACTTAAAATGTTCAGTAAACTATGCTCATATCAAGTTATGTGGTTCCGTTTACTAAGCACAGACAGAGTAGACTTAACATAATTCTTAAGAGTCCTAGGATTTTCAGAATGAGTAATGGGCACTGGCTTTAACTTAAGGTCACCAGCTGCATTAGCCCTTAAGAAAAGAGTCAGCCTGTCTTTTGAAGCTTGAAGCTAGGCATTGACTTCTCCAGCTATGAAAGTCCTAGATAATATCTTCTTCCAGTAGAAAGTTGTTTTTTCTACAATGAAAACTTACTGTTTAATGTACTACCTTCGTCAATTATCTCAGCTAGATTTCTGGATAACTTGCTACAGCTCCTCCAGAAGCACTTTTTGCTTTACCTTGCACTTTTATGTTACAAAGATGGCTGCTTTCCTTAAACATGAAGCCATCTCTGCTAGTTTCCGACTTTTTTCTTCTGCAGCTTCCTCACCTCTCCCAGCCTTCATAGATTGAAGAGAGTTAGGGCCTTGTTCTGGATTAGGCTTCAGCTTAAGGGAATGTTGTGGCTGATTTAATATTCTCTGTCCAAACCACTCATACTTTTTCTGTATCAGCAATAAAGCTGTTTCACTTTCCTTTCACTCATGTGCTCACTATTTCACTTTTAATTTCCTTCAATAACTTTTCCTTTGCATTCACAACTTGGCTAAGCACTTGGTGCAACCTATTTCAAGTTTCCACATACCTTCCTCACTAAGCCTAATTATATCTAGCTTTTCATGTGAAGTGAAAGATGTGTGCTTCTTCCTTTCACTTGAATGCTTAGAGGCCATCAGAGGGTTATTAGTTGGCCTAATTTCAATATTGATGTGTCTCAGGGAATAGGGAGGCCTGATGTATTTATTGATTAAATTATTGTCTTATATGGTTGTGGTTTGTGGTACCCCAAAACAGTTACACTAGTAACATCAAATATTACAATCACAGATCCCCAAAATAGATACAATAATAATGACAAATCTTGAAATAACTCAAGAATTACCAGAATATAATATAGAGATGCCAAATGAGCACAGGCTGTTGGGAAAATTGTGCTGATAGATTTTCTGAGAAGCACAGTATAGCAGAGCACAGTAAAGTGAGGCAAGCCTGTATATCCAGAATCCAAGGACTTCTCCCCATTCTCACCACAAGCGGCCTAGGCCAGGCTACTATTATTTCTCCTCTGGATCGTTACTCTCACCTACTAACTCCCAGCTTCTGATCTTGCCCCTCTCTAGTTTATTCCCAAAATAGCAGCCAGGATGGGACTTTTGAAATGGAAGACAGGTCATGTCAACTCCTCTAAGAAAATACTTATATTTTCTCAGAATAAAAGTGAAAACATTTTAATAACCTAAAGATTCTTCAGAATTGCTCCTGCCCCCACTAACCCCTCTGAAAATTTCCCTACAGTGGAATGCTTATTTCTCTAACAGCCCAGTCCAATTCAGCCTTAGGGCCTTTGCCCTCTCAGTTCCCACACCTGGAATACTTGTCCCCTAAGTAGCAACAGCGCCTTAATCATGTTTTTATCGGTTTTTTTTCCTTCATCTCTCTCACTTAGGTCTCTGCTAAAGTCATTTTTCAGTGATGTCTTTACTGACAAACATTATAAAATGACAACCTCCCCTTTTCTCCAGCCTTTTTATTCCTCATAAGGTGTTTGTTTTTCCACCTGACTCACTATCTGTCCTTTCTATGAGATCACAAGCGCATGAGGAAAGGTTCATGCCTGTTTTGTTCACTGTTGTATCCTCAGCACTTAGAACAATGCCTTGCACATAGGAGGCATTTAAGAGTTGTGAAATGCATGCACTGAATAAAGGGATTGTTGAATTAATAAATAGTAATTTTAGGAAATGATAGCTAAAAGAAAAAATATAGTAATACAAGAGTTTGTTTGTAAATTGTTCATTTGGTTTCAGGAGATCTCCAAACATTATGCCGATGCTCCTAGGATTCTTAAACAACCCAAAATAATTATAGGCATTGTCAGAGATAGGATACATGCATGAAAACAGCTAAGTCATCCCAAGATTTTAACACTGGGGAATAGGTAACCCTGAAGTACAAGGGCTAGGACCCCTGTCTCAGGAGCTGTCTACTTTTTTTCATGGGACTTGAGAAAGGATTATAGGACTTTATGTCATGTCACATCCAAAATTCATTTATAGAGTAAGCCATTTTACTAACATTGGAGTACATAATTCATAACAATAAGAAAAAACATAGACCTCAATTTTCAATAAGAAAAAATAGGAAAACTGGTACATAGAATAAGAAACTGTAATTCATAAGGACATGAATCATATATATGAAAATACTATTTGTTTGTAGGCCCACAGTTGATGCATATTCATTCCATATTAAGAGATAAGGAGGAGCGATATGATGGACACACCAGGGCTACGGAGTGTGAGACCTGGCTTTTAGTCCAACTTCCTCTGTTATTGTGTAACTTTGGCAGTTAAACTTTGGGAACTTCAGTATTTGCATCTGTGAAGGTAAAAAAACAAACATTGTCTGTGAAGTGGGGGCTATGGTGATGACAATTAGCAATATTTTAAGTAGAGAGTCTTCTACAGTGTTTGACACAAAATAGATGTTTAAACAAAACACCTTAGATGTCATCTGCCATGCAGTGTAAGGTAAAGAGTAGATGAGAAAGCCAGCTTGAACACAGTGGTAGTCCTGGAGACTGGATAACCAAAGCAAAAACAAAGCAAAACAGTTACCAGACAACATGGAGGCTGGTAATGACAGTGAAATCCTGTATTGCTAGCAGTTGAAGGGATATATCCAAAATAAATAAATAAAATTTAAAAAGAAAAAATAAACCTAAGTTCCTCCTAGATCTGGAAAACCAGAAAAAATTTCTGAAAGTTGAATGTTAAACATATTCAATGACTATTTAATCCCTCTAAGGAAGACCAGTTATGTAATTAGGGTAAACTCTGACTTTAAGGATATTACTGATACTACCATTTCTGACACTTACGGGGTAGGTTATGTTTACCTGGGCAGGTTAACCATCCTCATTCTCTGTTTTCTCCTCTGACAAATAACATATAGAAATATGTATGAAAATAGCAAATGCTGTTAGAGCACTGTTGTGGTCCAACAGAAACATAAGGCAAGCCATAAATGTGAGTTATATATGTAATGTGAAGGCTTCTAGTAGTCACATTTTATTTTATTATTTAGAGACAGGGTATGGCTCTGTTACCCAGGCTAAGTGAGTGCAGTGGTGTGATCATAGCTCATTGCAGCCTCCCACCTCAGATTCCCAAGTAGCCAGGACTACTGACGTGCACTGCAATGCCTAGCTAATTTTAAAAAGTTTTTGTAGAGATGGGGTCTTGCTGTGTTGCCCAGGCTGGCCTCCAACTCCTGGACTTCAGCTCTCTTCCTGCTTTGGCCTTCCAAATTGCTGGAATTACAGGTGTGTACTGGCCACATTTTAAAAAGTAAAAAGGTACAAGTGAAATTAACTTGAGTAATATGTTTTATTTAAATCGATATATGCAGATTATTATTTTATCATGTAATTGATGTAAAAGTTATTGCCTTTTTACTGCTTTTTTTCCATCTGTTAAGATGATTACAGTTTTATGGTTTATTTTATTAACAGAGTGTATTAAGTTGGTTGATTTTCATATTCTAAGCCAACCTTGTATTCCTGCAATACATTTCATTTAGTTATGGTGTATAATCTTTTTTATATGTTGTTGAATTTGGATTGCAAGTATTTTGTTGAGAGCATTGGCATCTATGTTTGTGGGGGTTATTAGTCTGTGGGTTTCTTGTGATGTTTTTGTCGCTATTGATGTTAAAGTAATTAATACTGGTCTGATAGAATGAGTTGGGAAGTATTACTTCTTATAATTTTTTGTTAAGAGTATATGAAGGATTGATATTAATTAATCTTTAGGTCTGTGGTGGAATTGATGAGTAAAGCCATCAGTGGGCCTAGACATTCCTGGTAGAAAGTTTAAAAATTGTTAATTCAATCTGTATTTATTTCAGTATGAGTTGTTGGTGTTTGGAAATTTATTTCACCTAGGCTTTCTAATTTGTTGACATACAATTGTAGTGGCATTCTCTTCTTTAAAAAGTTATTATTTACTTATTTAAAAAAAATTTTTTTTTATAGAGATGGTGCCTTGCTTTGTTGCTCAGGCTGGTCTCGAATTCCTGGCTTCAAGCGGTCCTCCTGTCTTGGCCTCCCAAAGTGCTGGGATTACAGATGTGAGCCACTGCATCCTGCCCATAGTGTTCTCTTCTAATCCATTTTACTTCTATGAGGTTGGTGCTGAGGTCCTCTTTTTTATTTCTGATTTTAATAATTTGATTCCTCTTTTATTCTTCAACCTCAGTAAATGTTCATTAATTTTATTTATGTTTTTCAAATAAGTAACTTTTGATTTCATCAATGTTTGCTATTTATTATTTCATTTATTTTTGCTCTAATATTTATAATTATATTTATTCTGCTTGCTTTGGTTTTAGTTTATTCTTTGGTAGTTTTGTAAGATAGAAGTTTAGATTGTTAGTTTGAGATCTTCCTTCTTTTTATAAATAAGCATTACAGCTACAAATTTCTCTCTGATTACTGCTTAAGGTGCACCTAATAAGTTTTGGTATGTTGTGTTTTTTGTCTCATTAATCTCAGATAATTTTCTCATTTGCCTTGTATATTTTAAAACCATTTGTTATTTAAAAGTATTTAGATTACTTTTAACATATTTGTGTTTTTCAAATTTATTTGTTGTTGTGACTTTTAAATGTATTCTGTGGTAGTCAAAGAACATCCTTTGTATGATTTAAAAGCATTTCAATTTATTGAGTTTTCTTAATGGCCTCTTAACATACATTTTATCATCGAAATTTTTTCCTGTATACTTGAGAAGAATATATGCTCTGCTATTTTTTAGAGTTTTCTGTAGATATGTTACATCTAGTTAGTTTATATTGTTGTTCAAGTCTTCATCCATTATTGAATGCAGGTTATTGATGTTTCCAATTATTACTGTTAAATGTTTATTTCTCCTTTCAACTTATGTATTTTACTTCATGTTTTTGGAGGCTCTGTTGTTACGTGCATTTATGTTTTTATTGTTTGTCTTCCAGATGAATTGACCCTTTTATCATTATGTCTTTTTTTGATTCAAGTAACAAATCTTGTCTTAAAGCCCATTTTGTCTGATACTAGTATAGCCACTCTAGTTCTCTTTTGGATACTGTTTGTGTGGTATATAATTTTATATCTTTTCACTTTGGACTTACTTATATCTTTGAATCTAGCATGTCTATTGTAGGTGGCATATGATTGAATTGTGTTTGCTTCATTCTACATTCTCTGTCTTTTGACTGGAGAGAGATATACATTTTTATTAGAGAAATGATATAGTCATTATTTGATAAATTGTACATTCATTGCTTAGTACGAATTAGTTGATAAGAATTAACACACTTATATTCATTTTATAATTGATGAATTGCATTACTTGTGTTAGATCTATATTGTTTGATATCCTTTTATAATCTGTCTTATAGGATTCATTTTGTAACTTATTTCTCAATGTTTGTGGGTCTTGGTTTTTTTATTTTTGAGATGGAGTCTCTCTCTGTTGCCCAGGCTGGAGGGCAGTGGTGTGATCTCAGCTCACTGCAACCTCTGCCCGCTAGGTTCAAGCAGTTCTCCTGCCTCAGCCTCTCACGTAGCTGGGATTATAGGCACCCACCACCATGACCAACGAATTTTTGTATTTTTAGTAGAGACAGGGTTTCACTGTGTTGGTCAGGCTGGTCTCAAACTCCTGACCTCAAGTGATACAACTGCTTCAGCCTCCCAAAGTGTTGGAATTACAGGCGTGAGCCACCATGCCCAGCCTCAATGTTTTAATAATATTTTTTTCCAATGCAAATTAACACATTTGTTTGAATTGAAAAATAAAGGTAGAATTTTTCTGGAAGGAAAGTACAATTTGGCTTACTGATTTGCCAAGTATATGTAGTACACATGTTCCTTTAATTGAGCTAAATATGAAGCACCACAGTTTTGATTTTATATGAATGTATCAAATTCAAGGGCAAAGTATAATGCAAATGTGAGTTCAAAGAGAAAAAAAATTTAAAATTTTTAAATTAAAAAATCTTTCTCATAAAAAAGAGTCATGGGTATCAAATTGTTATGATTTTCAGATTTCATTGAATACATTAAAAATAATAGTAATTTAAAGTGATAAAATCAAATATATATTGAAATTTCATCCTTTGCAATAATTATTTCAACTTATAATATTTTTAGAGGACTTAAGATGTATAAGACATTTAAAACTTTCAAATATGCAAGCTATTTTTTGAAAAATACACTTTCTTTATGTAATTCTTAAGGGAAAACGTTTGAAAAATAGATTAGAGAAGAAAAATCCTTCAGACTCATAGTCTCTGGTTGCCTTAGTTACTACTGTATTCCCAGTACCAATCACAGCCTTGTGACTGAATGAGTGAATTGTGTTAAGTGCCCTGAATGGTATCATTGAAAATTACTTGCTACCTAAAAAAAAAGGACAACCCAGGAGGCTGATGTTTTCCTATCTAGGTTAGGTAATTACTTAGTAGGTAGAGAGCTGGGTCTTGATGTAAATGGGGAAAGGAAAGCAATCCCTGCAATCCTGACTGTCTTCCAGACAGCCCTGGATGGCTACGTTTACCTTTGGCAGACCCCAAATAATGAGAGTAAGATTAAGACCTAGACTTAAGATAGCTCAACAAAGTGGTAAGATCCAGACATGCATTCCTTGGAGCATCTACTTCTTGTCTGGCACTCTGTGAGGCTCTGGGCATGGAAAGATGAAGATGACAAGGTACATGGGCAATATGCTTAAAAAAGAGGTCTGATGAAATGGGATAAATGCCGTAAGAGGAACATTTCATGTTATAGGTTCGAGTACTGGAAACTACAGTTATTTGACCATTTTTGACCTACCCAAAACTGGTAACACACATGGTTCAACCTACATGTTATATGCAAATCCAGGTGAAAAAACAATAAATCTTGAGGGATTTTTTTAATCAGGGAAAATTATGTGCAGTTGGTGGCATTTGAGCTGTACATTGAAGGATAAGGGAGAAGATGAGTGGTTGGATAGGTAGCAGGTGGGGCATTTGAAAGAGCATAATCAACAAAAGCAAAAGTGGAGAGTAATGGAAGGTTCAGATACCATCTGGAAAGGGACACAGAGCATTCTTTGCATTGAGATCTGGAAAGTGAGGATAAGAGTAAAAAGGAACCTCAGACTTATGTTAAGAGTGCTGCCAGCCTGATAAGACACTGTTCTGCCAGCAATGGCAAACCATCAAGACTTTTCTTAGAGGGAGTATTGTTAGCAGATAAAAATTTTAGAACCCCCCATTTGTCTGAATGGGGATTGGGTTGCAGATAAGGAGATTGAAGAGAGATACTGAGATACTTAGGAGGCAGCTGCAATCATTGAGGTAAATATAGTAGATGTGTACAGGGGTTGAGGAGTGGGCATGTTTCTATGACATAATTGTCATAGTTTGACCAATTATTAGGTTTGAGGGGTTAGTCGAAAGAGGTACAGGTTCAGGAGTGGGGGTAAAGAGTAAACTAAGTAGACATATCAAAGAGTAAGAGTAGAGAGTTCTGGGCTATGGTTCTTGGTTTTTGTTGGTGTGCATTTGATAGCTGAAGCCATGAAAGTGTATGGGATTATCAGGCAAACTTACCTAGGGAGAGCAGGGAAACAGAATATGGGCAAAAGGGCAGAGGAGGGAGCTAGGGATGAATCTGTACCTTGTACTTTGCCTCATTATATCTTTGTCATAGCACTTGTTTACCTGAGTGTCTACTGTTTGCAAGTTTGTGAGATCTCCAAAGATGGGTAGGAACCATCTTATCCATTCTTTGGAATCCTCAAAGCTCCACTATACTCAAAAGGTAGCCACTTAAAGAAGTACTCACTGGATCATACCCTTATTTTCTAGGTTCTAGGCATTGTTCTAAGTGCTACATAGGTGCCATTCCATTTCACATTTAATAATAGCTTTATAAATAGATGCTATTGTTAGCCCTATTTTACAGATGAGGAAACTAAAGCATGAACTCATTCAAGGACACAATTGAAGAGTGAGAGCCTGGATTTAAACTCAGACAGTCTAAAGCCAGAGGCCACTGAGTACTAAAGCCTATGCTATGGAATGAGTGGGATCAGAAGGACTTCTCTTTAGTAAAACTTTGCAGCTTAGAATCACTTTCATAAACAATTCTAGTATCCTCACAGTAATTTGGTAAGATGGAAGGAGGAGGCAATACTATTATCTACATTTGATTTGTGAGTAAATGAAAGCTAAAGTTAAGTATATTTGTGAAGATACACAGTAAGTGGCAAAACCACTCCTATCTTATGAATTACATTCCTGTATTCTGTTCACTCCATCTTGTTAACTGGGAATCCAATTGTCTCCCCTGTCGCTCAACAAGGTAGAATGTCTGGACTGGTAGCTGGAAGCTGGAGGAAGAATCTGAAGAGAGACACTGCGGAAAAGGCACAGAAAGACCTTTGAACTAGCAGTACATATTTCTTTGAGGGACTTAGGAACTTTATTCTGGTAGAGACTATAAGATGTCAAACTTGTGAATTCTAACATAGTCTCTTTTATTAATAATCGAGAATGCTTGAAATTTAGGTACAAACTATGTATTAAAATGGCTGGTTTGTTGGTTGTAAATGTAAACAGAGATAATTTATTAACTTGTTATTTATTCATCCTTGTTGAGGACATACTGTAATTTTTCCTTAGGCGTAACATCAGTGGTCCTCGTACTGTCTAAAGGCTTCAGGGGTCCCTGTACTGTCTAAAGGCTTCAGTCTCTTTGGAGCCTTCTGTAGTTCATTTGCTGAGGAGGATAAGATTCACCCTCTTCATTGGAGGGTGATGGATTTTCAACTTCTATAGGCATTATTTTACCCAATTCTCTACCACATATGGATTTTTTGAGGGGGGGGATGGCTAGTCTTTTAACTAGGAGCAACTCACGAAAGATTTCAAAGGAACTAAAAATGAGATTGATAATAAGCTTTATACTTGTGTTCAGCTCATTTTAGTTCAGAAAAAAAAAATGTTTCTGTACATCTGACAGATATTGCCTTATTTGAAATTTCTAAATCTTAGGCAAGATTGTCCTGCCATTTCTCTGCCGTTACACAAGATTGGTTATCTTGCCAAGTTTCACTATTGCTAATATAGACTCTGAAGCAACAAATATTACAGTGTATTTATAGAAGAGAAATATCCTGTTTTGTAAGTTAAATGTAGCCTTGTTTATTCATGTAAATGGTGGAAGTATATTCTCTCTATGGCCAATATGTTTAGGCCCTTAACTTATAAAATAAGCAATGTTATGGAAATTAAAACAGAGGTACCTATATTCTTCTTGTTTAGGAAAGGATGAAAGAAAGGAAGAAAATTCAGTAATTCTTTCCTATAATACTCACTTTTATAATAACTATTAACAATTTATAATATAAAATATTAAGATTTATATAGTTCTGTGTGCAAGGCGTTATTTTGAACATTCGGTCCTCTTTTCAAGTCCATGAGAAGTATTACCATTGCCTTCATTACAAAGGCGAGTGAACTAAGTCACAGAGGTGTTAGGCAGCTTGCCTGAAACCACAGAGCCAGTAGTAGAAACACTATCCCAGAGTTCTTGCTCTTAATTTACAGTGCTGAAATTGTTGTGGGTTTCATGATTTTGTCTCCTCTAAACTGGAGAAGACTTCCAAGAGGTGGTGACAGTTTAGAAGATCTTTGTTTTTTTGTGAGGATATGTGGTATTTGGTTTTCATATTTGTTTTTTTTTGTTTGTTTGTTTTTGAGACAGGTCTTCCTCTGTCACCCAGGATGGACTGCAGTGCCGTAATCTCAGCTCACAGTAGTAGCCTCTGCCTTCCATGCTCAAGTGATCTGTCACCTCAGTCTCCTAAGTGAAAATCTTTGAAAGATGGGAGTTAATCTATAAAAATGGAAAGCTAGAGAATTTCAGTGTTTGAAAGTAAACTTCTGATTCTTACTGAAATCCAGAACAGTTTTTCTCCATGAAGCAGAGATGAGATGCTGCATTAAGTTTATGAGAAACTGATTGCTGAGTGCTAGTGTGGTTTTTCTGTTGATCTTATTGAAACCAGGGGCCACAGACTTTCATTTATACATTCATGTGCATTGTTAGTGTCCCTCCTCTAGGTCATACACTCTACAGATGGATGTTGTTCCTTCTTTCTTCCTTCCCTCCCTTCCTTCCATTCTCTAAGTCAATGAAATCAGTTAAATGAGCGAGGCTTTGTGCCAGGGGCTGATAAGTAGATAAATAAATAAATAAGACAAGTGCTCTGGTCTTTACAGATGGTTAATGATGGTTTTAAATGGCCCACTGTTCATGTTGTAAGGAGGTAAAAAAGAGGGAATTGTTACTTCAACCTGGGGTGTTGGGGAAAGCCTTCAATGAAAGAGGTTAGTACTTGAGTTGAATCTTAAAAGATGTCTAGGTTGAGGGTGAGATGGTCAGAGGGAAATGGGAAGAACATTCTAGGAAGAGGAATCAGCAAGATTAGTCAAGCCTTGGAGGCGACAAATAGTAGGACATGTTATAGAAAGGGAGGAGGGCATTGCCTAGAGGGAGCAAAGGGGTGAGGTGAGGCCGTTTGAGCAAGGCTGGAGAAGTAGGGAAAGTCAAGTCAGTTGAGACAGAGGTATTCATCACTGAAAATCCACTTCCCGGACCTACATCCAACATAGAACCTTTATATGGTTATCATGATTTGAACATTCCCAGCAGTTTGTCATGTAGTTTCTGAGATTCAGGGCTTCAGGGATGCTAGATACTTTTATTAACATATTCTATGGTGTTTTATATAGGTCCTGGCAAGATTAACGTATTGTTTTCTATGATAACAGATAGCTAATATGAAATGAGGATCAATTTGGTCTTTCATATAAGGCCTAGAGAATGTTTTTTCACAATTACCCCAGACCTAGAAGGTCTTTGTCTACCCAGCAGCTAGTGTTGCATCAAATTCATCATTTGTTTTCTTAAAGTCATCCAGTGGGTTCCTTGCCCTAGCCTACAAGGCCGTGTATGTTCTACCATCAGCTCATACCACTCAACCCCTCACACATGCTCAACTACCCTGGTCATTTAGTTCTTCAAACCCTCGAAGCTTTGTTCTGACTTAGAGTTTCTGTGCTTGCTGCTGCCTTGGCCCAGCTGACTCTTCTCCCAACTGCATGGCTGTTTCATCTAAGATATATTTCCTCCTAGAGACCTTCATGGGCTGTCCTCTCTGAAGTATCCTCCTTCTCAGGACATCGTTTATTTCCTTAGGCGCATTTATCACCAATATGTAAGATTTAATTTATTCATTTATTTTATTGTCTATTTCATTTGAATATGAGATCAATGTTACACTCAGATACGCCCTGTTTGACTTATTCTCAGCTAGTTACTTAGCATGTAGCATAAAATATGCTCACAATAGAATTTATTTTAGTTCTATGTTAAATGAATATAAATGTCATGAATCTTTAATATGCAATAACAAAACATAATAATCTCTCTGTGAGATTTTACTAGAAAAAGCTAGACTAATCATTCCCAAATTGTATTTCATATAGTAATAAGAGGAAAATAAACAAGAGTGAAATTATGTTGTAAAGATTCTGCTATTGTTGTTAAGTAAGTCTAGTTACAAACAAGAAAAATGCCATAATTTATATGTCTACCTTTATTGTTCCAGACAAAATGGTGGAGAGCTAAAAGCATTCTCAGCCAAAGAGTGCAGCTATAAAGGCATGGAAATGGAGACAGTATGGTGGCTTGGAGTAAAATCAGTAAGTATGGTTGGAAGAAAGTGACCAATAAAAAATTTGAAGAAGTTGACAGGTTTAAACGATGGAGAGTTTTATATACATGCAAAAGCATTTGAACTTAACTCCATGGGGAATGTGAAGCTCTGTAGGACAAAACAGCTTTCAATGGGCAAATAATGTGGTCCGATTTGTATTGAAAAATTATTTTGTGCCCAATATGGCAAATGGCTTGGAGGGAGATGAGATACAAATCAGAGAATCCAGTCAGAAGGCTGTTGCAATAACCTAAGAGCAAGATGGCAGGTCAGGCTTGAAATGAGATGGCACTAAGGATGAACGTGAACAAACTGGTCTCTGCTATTAGCAAAACAGCAAAAATTCTTGGAATGATTCCTGTGAGCTTCCAGTCGAATACTGCTTCCAGTTCTGCCTTTTATCTTCTATCTATGAGATTTCAAATGAATTTCCATGTTGCATATCAGTTGGCCTCATATCTTCCTTTTTTGGACAAATACATCTTAAAGAAAACCATTACACTATAGAGTATTCATTGTGAGGATTAAAATAAATGTATGTGAAAGCACTTTCAAAATACTATACAAATGGAAGGTATATTTTTATTACCAGTAAGTCAATTTAGTTTACGAAGAGAAAAATCACTTTCTAGCATGTAAGCTCTGGTAAGCAAACTCCCTGGGCAAAATGAATCTTTCTTATAACCATAGCACTTTTTTGTACTTCTATCATAATACCTCCACCAGTTATAAATTGTTTATGGATTTTTATTATTTTCATGGTGTATAAATCCTTTGGTGGCTGAAACAGAGGAGTCTTAGGAATCATGCACACTGGTTTGTGGTAGACAGTAAGTAGTCAGCAAATGTTAACTGCATGCATGAATGAATGATTAGTTCACAGGAAAGGATAAAGGCAGGTAGCAGGGAGCTATTATAGACATCAGAGATAAAATAAACAATAGGGCAAACATGTTAAAGTGAAAATATTTAGTGTTATTAATGATCATATATTTAATTTTAGTCAAGATATGTATAGTGTATATATTAGTATACATATGTTGTAGACTATACTACAAGACTATATAGTATATATACTGCAAGAATACTCTATCAACTTACTGTATGTAAAGTTATTTTGGAATAATTAGCATTATTACTTTATTATTCTAGCATTATTCCAAAATAACTTTACATACAGTAAGTTGATAGAGTATAATACCATTGCAATATTGAATTTGTTTATCCATTCATTCAGCAAATCTCTTTCTAATGCCTGATAAGTACAAAGCACTTTGCAGAAATGTTCCTATTCTCAAGAAGTTTGCTATGCAGTGGGAAGGAGAGGAGGGCCTGCTCCCTGCCCAGCACTGTCCTAGGAGTTTTGCACACTCCATTGAGTTTTCTCTACAGTCCTGAGAGGTAAGCATTATTACACCCATATTACAAATAAGAAACCTCAGTTAAGAAAATTTCATTAATTTAGCTGAGACCACACAGCTAGGAAGGGGCAGAGGCAGGTCAGTGGATAACATTTCAGTGTCTGTATCCATTGCAATCATTCTTAAATTAACAAATAGTAAGGGACGGCCAACAAGGACAGATGTATAAAATTGTAATGACTCATAATAAGAGCTTTATCCTCATGGAATTATTGGTTTAGTAGTATGATTTAGGAAAATGAATACAATCATAAGGTGGAATCTTAACCAAAGATGGTCAGATCATTGGGGTAAACAGCTCTCAGAAACTGAGCAGCTTCTAGGTGTCATATGAAAGTATTCAGGGCTTGGAGGATCAGAAGATCACTATGTAAGACATCACTGCAATTCTAGTTATATGTTGGTGGGAAAGACACTGAAATTTCTTGACCGCACCGCCCTAATTTGTTAAATATAAGACATAATAGGAGAGATTCCTACCTTATTTTAAGAATTAATGGGTGGAGGTATGGGAAAGAAGTTTCTAAAATGCATTACAAATTGTGTTTAAGACAGCCAGTTTCACAGAAACAAATTTTTGGTGTAAGAGCCATCAAATAGGAGAAAGCATAAAGAAGTGACTTATACATTCTTATCCCTAGTGATATGGTGTCTGTTACACAGTAAGTGCTTAATAAATACTTTCTGAGCTTAGCTCCTGAATAGCTGAAAGACATATGGGAAAATCAAATTATCTCTCTTCAAGTGATTGGGAAGACATGTTATACCCAACTTCCTGTAGCCTATTCAACATACCAAACAGTTGTCAATAAATACTATAATTTGAAGTACTGATTAAATTGGGTCTTCTTTATCCATTTGGTTGTTTGAGATGCATATGTATGTATATATGGGTTGCAGAGATGTATGTACGTATGTGTTGCAGAGATGTATGTACTTGACTGTGTGTATGTGTCTAAAAGAAGATACTTGGGGGTTCTGGTGAACTGTCCTCATGTTTATTTAGTTTTGTTAAGTATCTATTCCTTTCTGTTGGTGAGGGTTGGAAGCATCCAGCACAATTAGGGGCTAAAGTAGTACCATATATTTTCCACAGATATTTATATTTCAGCAGGTATTATAGAGATATGTTAGAGGGATAAAGCTTAAGCCTGGTAGTGCTATACACTAGCCAGAGAGAGAATTTATTTGAGGAAGGCTGGTTTACTTAGCATCATCAAACCACATATTCATAGTTATTAATCTGCCTACCAAAAATACCTTTAAATTAGATAGATGAGTAGACATACACATGCCTTTGCTAAGGATATGGTCAGTTCTCACCTACAACTCTTAATATTATAAGGAGTAACAAAAATAAGATTACTAGACATTATAAGAAGTCTTTATTCTACTTTAACATTTCATTCAATGCCATTTAAAAGTGTTTTTATAGTAAGATGTTATTAAGAATAAATGTTTAGAACCTCTGCCTCCTTGAAGATAGAGTAGATTATTTGCCCCTCTTTCTCCTACTAAAGACAACGGATAACCCTGAATGTTATATACAAAACAAAATTCTAAAAGTCCAAAAGGTAAAGAAAAGAAGAGTAACTGTCTAAGCCTCTTGGAACCCAGGGACAGTAAGGCCATTTTGTTTCCTTTTTGCCTTGTATATCCCAGAATTGGAACTGGAGAAACTAGAACTCTGTAAATGTTAACAGATTCAAACAAACAAAAAAGCCCCCCAAAAAGCCTGCTCTCTGTAGGAAAAAAAAAAAAAAGAGGAAAATGGCAGTCTAGCAACACAGAAAACTTTAAGTGATAACCATCCTATTCCAGCCAAATACTACAGAAAAAAGCAATGTGGTCCAGCTATCAACTGTGGCAGCAAAGAACAAGTGGATTGCCTAGAGCTCCACTCTTGCTAGGCTGTAACAAAGTGTTTTCTCCAGCACCCTAAACGTACCTGAATGATGTTAGATGGTACTGGATGGTGTTAGAGGAGGCCAAGTAGAAAGCTAGTACTTTCATTCTTGCCAAGAAGTAATGAAGCCCCACTCACAATGTCAGTGGAAACTACTTGTGAACCTGGACTTCCACCTGCACCCTGCCGTAATTAGGTTCTACTCCCTCCCTCTACTGAGCTAATGTCAGAGGATACTTAATGGAGAATCTGGATTTTTCTTAGTGTTCAGTGGTAATGAGGCCATACAAACCCTGTGGTGACATTGGAAGACGTGGGAAGCAGTAATGAGTCATTTGTACTCTTATCCAGAGTGGTATCAGGGGAGGGCTAATGGGGAGCTGAGACTCCCACTACCTCTCAGTAGTGCCATGGAGCCCCATGTTCTCCTCAGTTATCAATAGGGGCCAAGTGAGTAACATGGACATCTATCTCTACATGGAAGTAATGAGTCAATATCCACTTCTGCTGCTGCCAGAGTGATACCACAGATAGTTAACAAAAGTATAACGTTAAAATAAAATATGGAGTTCCTTAACAAAATACCCAAAATGTCTAGGTTCCAGTCAAAAATGATTCATCATACCAAGAACCAGGACAGTCTCTCTTGAATGAATAATAACAGTGAATGCCAACACTGAGATGACAGACATGTTAAGAGTTGAGGAGTTTTCAACCATTATTTTTTCAGTTCTGCCCTTTTTCTCCTTCCCATATTCTGACAACATGAATGTTAGAGCTTTTATTTTAGTCGTAAAGGTCCCCAAGTCTCTCTTTTTCAGGATGCTCAGATTGCATAATTTTCATTGTTCTCTTTCAGTGTACTGATTGTCTTATCCCATTTATCTGAAAAAGAAAGAACAACTATTATAAAAGATGTTTCAATGAGCAATTATAACATGCTTGAAACAAATGAATAAAATAATCTCAGCAAAGAAATAGAAGCTGTAAATAAACTCAGATTATAGAACAGAAAATACAATAACAGAAATAAAAAAATTCAGTGGATGAACTCAACAGCTGAATGAAGGAACAGAGGAAAGAATCAGTAAACTGAAAGAAAGAATAATAGAAATTATACAATCTCAACAATAGGAAATAAACTTAGAAATTGAACAGAGACTCAGGACTTACATGACTATATAAAAAGATCTAATATTCAAATCACAAGGCTAATGGAACCAATAGGATGTAATCAACCTTTACAGAACACTCTATCAACAACAGAATGCACATTTTTGTCAATGGGACATATGCCAAGTTAAATCATATTCTGAGTGATAAAATGGACAACAAAAATACAGTCATCCAGAGCGTGTTCTCTGACTACAGTGAAATCAAAGTAGAAATTATTTTTTAAAATAACAGTAAAACCTCAGTCCCTTTAAAACTAGACAACTTACTTCTAAATAACCTTTGAGTCAAGTAAGAACTCTCAAGGGAAATTTAAAAAAAATACATTGAACTGAATGAAAATGAAAATAATACATATCAGAATTTGTGAGATGCAGCTAAAGCAGTACTGAGAGAAAAATTTATGGCACTAAATGGTTACAATGGAACACAGGACACATTTCAAATTAATAATCTTAGCTTCCACCTCAAGAAGCTAAAAGAAGAATAAAGCAAGCAGAAGAAAGGAAATAATAAAGATAAGAAATTAACAAAATTAAAAAAGAGAAACAGAGAAAAAGAAACAGCTGGTTCTTGCAAATTTCTAGCAAGATTGGCAAAAAAGAAGATACAACTTACCAATATAAAAAAAATGAAACAACAGCTATCACCACAAACCCTGAAGACATTAGATAATAAGTGAATATATGAACAACTCCACATACAAACATTTGATAACAGATAAAATGGACCAATTTCTCAAAAGGCAAACTCTCAACACACTCAATAAGAAACATAATTTTAGTAGACCAACAACTTATAAAAGTTGAATTTGTAATTTTAAAACTCTTTGGTATGGTTTGACTCTGTGTCCCCAACCAAATCTCGTTGAATTGTAATCACTAATGTTGGGGGAGGAACCGGGTGGGAGGTGATTACATCATGGGGGTAGATTTCCTCCTTGCTGTTCTCAGTGATAGTGAGTTCTTATGAGATCTGGTTGTTTTAAAATGTACAGCACTTCCCTTCTCTCTCTCTCTTTTCCTCCTTCTCCTACATGTGAAGATGTGTTTGCTTCCCCCTTCCTTCTGCTATGATTGTAAGTTTCCTGAGGTCTTCAAGTCATGCGTCCTGTACAGCCTGTGGAATTGTGAGTCAATGAAACCTCTTTTCTTCATAAATTACCCAGTCTCAGGTATTTTATAGCAGTGTGAGAATAGACTTAATTCATCCCCTAAAAAGAAATATCCAGTTCCAGATGATTTCACTGAAGAACTCTACCAAATATTTGAAGAAGAATTAATGCCAATTCAGCACAGTCTAGTCTCTCTAGAAAACAAACTAGAACTACTTCCTAATTAGACCTATGAAGCTAATGGTATTTTGAAATGAAAACTCAAAAGAAATACAGAAAAAAGAAAACTATAGGTAAATATCCCTCATGAATATAAACACAAAAATGATTTATAAAACATTAACAAATATAACTCAATAATATATAAAAATAATTATACTTCATGACCAAAATAGATTTATTTTAAGGGTGCAAGTCTGGTTCAATATTGAAAAATTAGCCAATGTATCCCATCATCTTACCAGAGGAAAGAAAGAAAGAAAAAAACACACAATCATGTTAGTTGTTGCAAAATAAAATAAAAAGCATTTGGCAGAATTCAGCATGTATGTATTATAACAGCAATCATAAAAATAGAAATATAGGATAACTTTCTCAACTTGAGTAAAAAATTATAAAAAATCTACAGCTTAGCATTTTACTTAGTGATGAATTACTGAATGCTTTCCCCTTAAACTGAGAAAAATACATGCTGTCAGCTTTCATCATTATACATAATGCTGTAGTTCTTTCTAGTAGTTGCAGTTAAGGCAAGAAAAGAAAAAGACATACACATCAAAAAAGAAGAAATACTACTTTCACTATTCATAGAAGACATGGTTGTCTACATAGAAAACCTCAAAGAACTGATTTTAAAAACTCTCCCAGAACTCATGTTCAGAAAGATTACAGGATACCAGATAAACATACAAAAATCAGTTGCATTTGTATATGCTAGCAATGAACACACAGACATCAAAATTAAAAGTATAACATTTACAATTGCTCCAAAAATTAAATACTGAGTTGTAAATATAAAAAATACGTACAGGAATTGCAAACTGAAAACTACAAAATACTGATCAAAGAGATCAAAGAATTTCTAAATAAATGAAGAGACATACCATGTTCATGGATTGGAAGACTCAACATGATAAATATGTCAATTCTCCCCAGGCAGATAAACACATTTAATAAGATTGTCAACAAAATTCCAGCTATAGTTTTTTGTACATGCAGACAAGATTATTCTAACAGTAATATGGAAAGGCAAGGGAACTAGAATAGCTAAAATAATTGTGAAAAAGAAGAATGTAGTGTGAGGAGTCACTCTGCCCAAGTTCAAGACTTATGTAGCTATAGTAATTAAGACTACATGTTATTGGTGGAAAGATAGACATACAGATTAAAAGGACAGACTAGAGAATGAATATAAAGAGACAACATCAATATGCCCAGCTAATTTTTCTTATTTTTTAATTAAGTAAATTTTTTGTTCAGATGTTTGAGTTCCCTGCATATTCTGAATATTAATCTTTTGTAGGATGAGTAGTGTGCAAATATTTTCTCTCATTCTGTAGATTGTCTTTTCACTCTGCTGATTATTTCCTTAGATGGGCAGAAGATTTTTAGTTTGATTTCATCACATATGTCTATATTTGCTTTTGTTGCCTGGTTTTATTCATAAAATATTTTTTCTAGACTAATGTCCTGAAGCATTTCCTTGTTTTATTTTAATAGTTTTATTATATGGAGTCTTACATTGAGTTCAAAATGGTGGTCTAGTTTCATTCTTCTGCCTATGGATATCCAATTTTCCTAGCACCATTTATTGAAGAGAGTGCCCTTTTCCCAAAGTTTGTTCTTGGCAGTTTTTGACACAGATGGAAAAGCAATTCATAGGAGGAATTATAACCTTTTCAACAAATAGTGTTAGAGCAATTGTAATTTATAGGCAATAAAAATGAACCTCAACCTAAACTTCATATGTCATACAAAAAATGATTTAAAATTCATTATGTATTTAAACACAAAACTGTTAATCTCTTTTTTTGGGTGAAGGGTTCTTAGATATCACACCAAAAGTAAGATTCATAAACGGAAAAATGGATAAATTGGACTTAACCAAAATTAAAAACTTTTGCCTTGAGAATGACACTAAGGGAATGAAAAGACAAGATACAGGCTGGAGACACAATATTTGCAAACCGCTTGCCTGACAAAAGGGCCAACATATAAAATACATAAAGAACTCTCAAAATATACAAAACCTGATTAGCAAATGGGAAAATACCAATGAAAGTCATGATGAGTTGTCACTACATACCTGTCAGAATGTGACGAATAAGAAATTATGACAATACCAAATGCTATTGAGAATGTGGAGAGACTGGATCTCATTTATGTTGCTGGTGGTATGTAAAGTGGCACAGTCACTCTTGAAAACAGGTTGGCAATTTCTTTATAAACTAAATATGCAGCTATTGTATCATTCAGCAATTCTACTTTGAGGGAGTTATTCAGGGAAATGAAAACTTATTTTTACAGAAACTTGTGCATAAATATTCAAGGAAGCTTTATTTATAATAGGCAGAACTGGAAACAACCCAGATGCATTTTAATAGATGAATGGAATGGTTAAACAAACTGTGATATGTCCATGTTTATTCATCATCTATTTGGTGTCACAGGACTCAACCAGGTGCTTAAATACATTTGTGATTAAATCTCAGAAGGTAAATATTATTATCCTAATTTTGTATATGAGAAATTTGAGATTTAGGGAGTTTAAATACCTTAGCCAATGTCATTCAGGGCAAAGGCTAGAATTTTCAACCTGGGTTCACAGGATTCCAAAACCCATTTATATTCCACCACAGGAAGCTGCCATAAAATTAGGTGAGGGACTATGTGTGCTCGTTATGCTTTGTAATCTGGAAGGATATAACTAATTGTGTTATACCTTGTCTCAGGACTACTTCTGTCATTAGATTTTCAACACAAAGAGATTGCATAAGAACAGACTTTCTTTTTCAGTAATTCCCATTCAATGCATTTACCTAGGCATCTGCAAAGTCACGGCATTTGATGAGACTTCTCCAAGAAAAAGAATGGGCTTTAACTCTCTTCCGTTGACTCATTTAACCAAGTAACATAACTAATGCTTGTTCTTTGTCATAATTAGGTTTGCAACCTCATTTGTGGAGCCTAAAACACTCATTTACTCACATAGCTGCTGGTAATGGTTAACAATGCATTTCCTTGTTTTCAGAGTCAACTAAAACACAACCATTGAGGTCCGCAATTATGGAACAGGCATGGCTGAAAAAGTAGATACATCATCACGTTTTGGATCCAGAAGAAATTATTCAATTGGAGTAACCACCTCATTTTGTAGAGGCAGAGTAAGTTGTCCAAGTCACACATATGTGGTTAAAATTAAAATATGAGTCTTAGATTTCTCCTGAGGCTCAAATCTGAGTGTTACCAGAACTTCTTTCTATGCTTCATACTTTAAATTCCAGTTGCTATTTGTTTCAAGTTTTACAAGAGCAATTTTTGTTTTGTGAAATACTGTGAACAAAATACCTAATTATTTCTTTTAAAAAGCAAACAAATTTCAAGATCCCTATACCTAGAAGGAATGGCAGCTGCAAAGTAAAATGAAGGTACCTAAAATATTATGATTACAGGATTCCAGGAATTGCAAACATGGTGTAGCTGGGAAAACCTAAAAATTGGAGCTAGAACTCCTGAGTTAGATGACTTGCTATGTTACCTAAGCAGCTCTGTGTTTTAGCCATGCCTCTTAATTTTGATTCCTTAACAAATTCTTACTTGGTGCTTACTTTACACCTTGCGTTTTCCTTGGCTCTGGAGAGGAGATTCAATGGTAATCACAGTAATAAAAATCTTGCCTTTACCTAATTTGGAGTGTTGATACATGAGAGAAATTAGATGGTAGATGTGAAAACTTTTTTTAAAGTGTACAATTCTGTAAAAATTAGGTATAACATGACACCATTTTCAATTGCCAGTGTATGATATCATAGATGGAGCTTTGAAGATATTGAAAACTCCTGAGCATAAACAAAAAATACATTTATACTGTAAGTTTGTGACATCTTGAAATTGGGCAGAATGCTTAATAATAAATGTTTACTATGTGACAATCACTTATTTATAATCTCTGTTCTTATTTCAAATGTAAATACATAAAAACTGTATCTTGTTTTTACTACTATTATTCTAGGTCTTAGAATAGTAAGTACACACGATGCACCAAATATTTGATGAACAAGTTAATAAATTACTACTTTTTGTGAATATATGGAATTAGTGGATGTAAAATTATATAAAATCTTGATAGATATTGTAAATTCCTCTTCCAATAATTGATTGTACCAATTTATCTTTTAATTATCTAATTTATTAAAAAATATACTGAGTGCTTGTATATTTTAAACCCTTTTGTATCTGCCTAGCATGTTTTTCTTTTGGGAATAACAGTCCCTTCCTCTGGGAATTATGACTTCCCTCATCCTTCTTCTGAGAGCAGCCAAGTTAATGGGAACTCATCTTCTGATGCAGTGTGCTGGGTCAGGAGTGGGTCCAGACTCAAGCTGCGCTAATCACAGTACCACATCTCTGAGATCATCAATTATTGGTCCAGGAGTATTCACTGGATCTAATCAGGGTGAGAAACTGACTTTCTTGGAATTTTGGGGCACGGGAAAATTGTGACTTGAATCAATAATTTTCTGATGGTTGAAGCTATTTAAGGACTTAAAACTCAGAATTTGTTGGTTACTGTTTTTCACCAAATGAACAAAGTTAGCTGGCACCAAGACAGAGAAGTATGAAGCCCATAACCCAGAGAAGATTCCCCAAGATTAAGTCCAAATGTAATTTAATGCCTAGTTCCCAGTGTTCCTGCAGTGAAACTACATGAGCAATGTTAAGATTCAGGAAATATCCCAATCTCTTTATGATGATAATAGTAAACACTAATAATTTTCTTTAAAAAAGTTGTTGGTTAAAATTGTCTTTCCCCAGTTTTTGGAACCAAGCGTCATAATAGTGAAGCTTACTACACAAGCAGACACCTTGACTCAATGCCCCCTCAAGTACTATACCCATTTTCCCATATATTTACCTATAAGGGATGTTATCAATACTTACATTGTTGCATTCACATGATCAGTAAAAACAATGGAATCACTTATTTGTTTTAATTTGAGTTACTTAAGAAGCAGCTAAGCTGAGACTGTTTTCAGGTCTTTATTGGCAATTTATAATTCTTCTGTGAATTGCTGATCTATAATATTCGGTCATTTTTCTCTGGTGTTCTATTTTTCTTATTAATTTGCAGAAACTTTCTAAGTAAAATGGCTATTAATCTTCATTATGTTCATTGCAACTATGTTTTTCTGGCCCTTTATATGCTCATATGCATTTGTTTATGCTATATTTCATCACGTAGATGTCAATTATTTTATGTATTCAAATCTATTATGCTTTTTCTTCAGGATTCCTGAATTTCTTGTTTAGGAGCATTTGTCCACCTTCTAAATTATTTTCAAAAATCTAAATTTGCTTTTTAAACATCTTAGTTTATTTTCTACCTTTCATTTTATATTATTTCAGTCACTGTACTTTGCTCTTTTCATGTGAAATTTAATGAATACTTTGCAAGATAAGTATTGTTATCTCTATTTTCCAGATTATGGCAAGGAAAATGAGGTTCAGAAAGTTGTTCAGGTCGCACATGATAACTGCTGCTATTCTGGTGACAAACCTCATAATAGTTGATATGATTTTGCTCTGTGTCACCACCCAAATCTCATCTTGTAGCTCCCATAATTCCCACACGTTGTGAGAAGGACCTGGTGGGAGATAATTGAATCATTTTGTCTGGGTCTTTCCCATGCTGTTCTCATGATAGTGAATGGATCTCATGAGATCTGTTGGTTTTAAAAACAGGAGTCTCCCTGCAGGAGCTTTCACTTTGCCTGCTGCCAACCATGTAAGACAAGACTTGCTCCTCCTCGACTTCTGCCATGATTGTGAGGCCTGCCCAGACACGTGGAACTGTAAGTCCAATAAACTGCTTTGTTTTGTAAATTACCCAGTCTTGGATATGTATTTATCAGCAGTCTGGAAATGGACTAATAAAATCCTTCAAACTTTCATGCTATCTCTGCAAAATATAGATGAGAAACAGGCTAATTTATAACTGCTGGAATTACACTTTGTAGCCTTCTATTCATTGCCCAAGTGATTTGAGTTGGTTAATATTGCAAATTAATATAACAATATAGATATATATTGTGTATGGACCTGGGATCAGGACAAACTATAGTCCAAATGCACTTTGTATTCAATATGTCCTTGATTAAGAAATTGGTAAATAAGGCTGGGCGCGGTGGCTCATGCCTATAGTCCTTGCACTTTGGGAGGCCGAGGCGGGTGGATCACAAGGTCAAGAGATCGAGACCATCCTGGTCAACATGGTGAAACCCTGTCTCTACTAAAAATACAAAAATTAGCTGGGCATGGTGGCGCTAGCCTGTAGTCCCAGCTACTCGGGAGGCTGAGGCAGGAGAATTGCTTGAACCCAGGAGGCGGAGGTTGCGGTGAGCCAAGATCCTGCCACTGCACTCCAGCCTGTGTAACAACAGAGAAACTGCATCTCAAAAAGAAAAAGAAATTGGTAAATAAATAAATGATAGGGACTGGGGTGGCAAGGATCACACTGACCTCATCTGTACTTGGAGAGCCCAGGTTAAACTAGAAGCAAAGGTGTGGAGTAGGATGAGGAAAAAGCTGGATGTCAGGTGTATGCACTGTTATAGCACAGCTTGCTACCTAGAGTTTCCAGCTGTTCATTATTCTTTCCATAGTGAGGGGTTAGGCTCATTCCTCTGAATTCATGTAGTGCCTTCACACACCTCTATAGCACTTTTGTCCTCAGCTTAGCCGACTAGGCAGGGTCCTCCCAAGCCGTGGCACTTAGTCTTTTTTATTCTGTGTCCCTGGGCCCCTCATAGCACCAGGTATGCTATGAAGTTGTGGTCCACACACAGGCCAGAGAGCCAGCTGGGACTGTTGAGTTTGGAAAGGTGGTCTGTGATCTAATTTCAAGATGAGAAACTTAGAAAGTTACTTTATTCTTGATGTTTTTCAAATAATTCTGTATATTATCATTTCAGTGGCTAAAAAGCAGTGCCAACTTTCTTAATGGCATTCTTCTATTCAATAGAACAGGCAATTTAAGTTCCAAGAATGTATATATTTTCTACTGGACCCAATAAGTCTATTTTTTGAATGAAATAATTATAGCCTCTAAGTAATATACACACATACACCCCTATCTATACATATAATAGATATACATACATATTATTCCTATATTGGTCTTCATGTTATAGGAGTTTCCTCAGTACTGGACTCCATGATCAGCAAATGCCAAACTTAGGAAAGGTTCAAAGCATCAGTGCATAGACATATTTAACCAGCAATGCATCAGTCATCCTCAGAGGTAGATCCCATCAGAGAGCCATCACTAGCTTCAGCTGCTTCCTCTTGGCTGGTCCCCAAAGAACATTAGGGTATTCAGTGATACCTGCCGGTGCCCACCTCCCAACAACTGTCTTTAAATGATGGCCTAACAAAAACGATCAGTGGACATCATGTTATGTGTGCATTTCACCTGTATAAATGCAATCACAGGGGCTGTGGCAACCAAAGAAGTGTGGCACTCAGATCCTCTTTCAAGAGAACCTTTTGTGGGAAGCACAGCTGATGGCAGCTGTTGGACTTTCACATTCAAAACTGCCAATGTTGTGTTTCACCTGGACTCCTCCTAGCCAACATCTGGTTACAGCAGGGGCACTGGGGCCAATCCTTCTCTACCCAACATGGGATTCCACTAACAGGCATGTCGTGCTTGCTTGTTGACTCCTTATGGGCTTGGCTGAGATTTTCTTAGAACCTCACTGTAGTCTGAACTTTTCCTGGCCAATTCTTTGTCTCTCTCCTTGCACAAGTATTCAATCTGTGTTATGATTGGAAAGTCTTCTTTACCACTTCTGCTCCTTTTTTCTTTATCTTTCACATGTGTTTTCCTCATTAAATACCTTGTTTATCTAATAGTTTTGGTGCCTACCTCTCAGAGAATCTGAATTGATACAGCAGCTCATCAGAAAAAAAAAAGATGGGGTGTTGGTGGTGGAGAAAAACAGCAACTTAAATAGTGCCATCTACAAATTCGGAGTATTCACTGAATGAGCGTGAGATGCCGGTATCTTGTTCCCTTAGCCAGGTTCTATTTGTTCCTTAAAGCCCTAATTTTGTTCCTTAAAGTCGATAAATATGTATGGCATTTACTCTATGCCAGACATTGTTCTAAATATTTTACTTATACTGAATGACTTGGTGTTTACATCATCCATATGATTAATTACTGTTACCATTTTGCAGATGAAAACACTGAAGCACAGAGAGATTATGTTAACTTGCCCAGTGCCAAAGAGCTATTAAGTGGCAGAGCTGGGATTTACTGTCGCTGCACTGTTGCTTCTTTCATTGGGAGCTCTTTGCTGAGATTGCAGTATATAAAGGTAGGTATTCTTAATAAAATATGTTCATTAAACTTTACTCAATTACTTTGCAAGATTCTTAGATAAATAAATAAGAATTTCTTTTCAGTAGTGAAAGGAAAACTGACTACACTGAATTCATTAGTCTTCAGTATGGCAACTTCCTAGAAATTGAGGTTCAGAAAGTTGTCCAGGTCATTTAAAAAAGAACATTGATTTTATATATATACACATATATATATGATTATATATTATATAATCAATATCTGTAATTATATAGATATAATTACATTTATATCGATTATAAGTTAGATATTATAATATATAATTATAGATATTAATTGTATTATATATTATAAATATATAATTATTATCTATATTTTATATATCAGCTATTTCTAATGACAATCCCAGATTTGCTTCATGCAGGCAAGGTCTTTCAGTGGATTTTTGCAGGGTAAAAGTGAAGAGGGTTGCTGGTATGTTCTAATGTTGGAAATTAGTCAGAAATATATATTCCTCTTTTTTTTTTTTACCAGCTGGAAAACTCTGTTTTCAGAGGACTCATGTGACTCAACAGGACCCACTTGGATAATTTTCATATTTTAAGGTCAACTGTGCCATATAAAAAATCTAATCACAAGACTAGAATCCATCAAGTTCATGGTCAATAAAGCAGGCAATTCAAGTTCTAAGAATATATGTATTTTATGTGAAACCCAGTAAGGCTATTTTCTTTTAGAATGAAAGAAATATAGCCCTTAAGTAATACACCAAGAATTATTCAATTTAATAAGTTTCCATTCAGAAATATATATTTCTGACTAATTTTCTAACATAACATACCACCAACCCTCTTCACTCTTACCCTGCAAAAATCCACTGAAAGACTGCCTGGTTGAAGCAAATCTGGGAAATTGTTATTTCAAACTGATTTTTCCAGAGTGATGGATGACAATTTTTAAGTAGTACTATGCTCTGGATAATGTACTAGATAATGAACATGCATCCAATAATTTAAACCTCCCAACCACCTGTGGAGTGGTTGCCCATTTGTGAAGGAAGAAACCCAAACTGGATATATTATATAAATTGTTCAGCCTCAGAGCTTGTAAGTAGCTGAGTCAAATGAAACCAAGCCTTAACAATTAGTCTGTGTTGTTGTTGTTGTTGTTATTTTAAACTGCCTGTGTCAGTTAACTTGGGTTTATCTTTCTAAGCTATCCTCTCACCCCAAATTAGTCTTGCTGTGGTGTACTTTCTTCTTAACCATGGCAAATCATACCCACTTTAAGCTTTTCATGATGTCACAGGGTCTTTATGAATTAAACTACTTTAATGCTAATGTTTGTGAGATTATGTGTGATTTTAGATGACTACTCTTGTTACTCATTTTTTTCATTAACCAAATGTTTATAAAATATCCTATCTTTTAGGCAGATAGATAAAGGCCATTCTAAAACAAGTCCTAAGATTTCCTGCTTATTGTTGTACATCATTTTTATAACCCCAGGACCATAAATATGGTGAATTATGATGGTTAATATTGAGTGTCAACTTGATTGGGTTGAAGGATGCAAAGTATTGATCCTGGGTGTATCTGTGAGGGTGTTGCCCAAGGCAATTAACATTTGAGTCAACACCTTGAATTCAGCCTTTAGTGCCCTCATCAGATCATAGACCCTAGCCAAGCTGTGAATGGACTTCTGATCTACAGGACCCAGGACTAATAAGTGGTTGCTATTTGGAGCCACTAAGATTATGGTCATTTGTTATGTTACAATAGAGACAAATATACCCTTTATAGATGATCATCACAGGTACCGTGGTAAGGAATGTGAATTTTATTCTAATATGTGTTGCGCCATTGGAAGACTCTAAATGGATTGTATGATTTAATTTATATTATTATACAGTGCAGAGGCAGATGGAAACATTTCAATTAGAAATAGAGCAAGACTTTTCTTTCTTTTTCAAAAAATTGAAATACTTTTCTACATGTCCATATGTAGAACATTTTATATTTAAAGTTTTAATGCATTTTTTTAGATCAAGGATATTACCCTTTTATAATTTTTCTATCATCCTTTTACCCTTGTCCTTTTTATGTTTTCTGTCCTCTCTTTTATGTGTTTACTTTTTTATTTTGAAAAACATCAGAAGGAATTTGCAGAGAACAGTATCAAAATATCTGACCAAGAATCAACATTTAGCATACTGACATGTTTGCTCCAAGTTCTTGTGTTTTTTAAAAGAAGGGAATGTTGCCGGTTGCGGTGGCTCACGCCTGTAATCCCAGCACTTTGGGAAGCCGAGGTGGGTGGATCACGAGGTCAAGAGATCGAGACCATCTTGGTCAGCATGGTGAAACCCCATCTCTACTAAAAATACAAAAAATTAGCTGGGCATGGCGGCGTGTGCCTGTAATCCCAGCTACTCAGGAGGCTGAGGCAGGAGAATTGCCTGAACCCAGGAGGTGGAGGTTGCGGTGAGCCGACATCACGCCATTGCACTCCAGCCTGGGTAACAAGAGCAGAACTCCATCTCAAAAGGAAAAAAAAAAAAAAAAACAAGGGAATGTTATGTGTTAAAGTCAAATCCATTTTGTCTTTCATCCTTATTCAAATTTTTTTTTGAGGAAGTTAAATGTGTCATAGATTTTGTGTGTATCCTTCTAGGACTTTATTGATTTTTAATTTTTTACATACATATGTATGTTTTAATTGTTTGGTGGATTTTTAAATTAAAAATACTATCTTTTACATACTTGTTATTTATTTATATAATGTCATTAAATTAAGTTTGTATAAAGCATATAATAAATGTAAAAATGTTTGCCTAGGGTAATAGGAAAATGGGGACCAGTTGAGGATCTTCTCTGGACATTCAGATGAGCAAAGATGGTGGCTAGGACAAGGGCAATGGTAGTAGTGGTGAAGAGAAATGGAAAGATTTGAGATTTGTTTCAGAGGAAGAGTTGACAGTTCTTGCTGATGGATAGGATGTGGGAGACAAAGGATAGAGAAAACCCAGATAACTTCTAGATTCTTTTGGCTTGAGCAATTGAGAGGATGAGATTGATGAAAATAGAGAAGAGTAAGAAAATAAGAGGTTGGATCATAGAGAATCAGGAGGCCTATTTTGGCCATATGAAGTTTGAGCTGCCTATCAGGCATCAAGTGAAGATGTCAAGCTTATAGTTAGACATGTAAGTCTGAGGTTCAGAAGAAAGGTTAAAATTGCAGATAAAAATGTGGGAATGATCAGCAAAAGGGATCATACTTAGAGCCTTGAGATTACCTAAGGAAAGATTACAGATACAGCAGAGAAAAAGGATAACGAGTGAAGTCTAGAGTACTCCAGAATTTAGAGATCAAAGAATGGAACCTGCATAGCAGTATGCGCAGGAATGGCCAATGCATTAGAGGGAAGCAGGACAGTGTGTGGGGTGCTGGAAGCCAAGAGAGAGGAGGGACGAGTGTGAAATCCAGTCAGTGACTCTACGCAGGAGCTCTTTTACTTTTGATCCCCACCATGACCTTGTGGAGTAAGGAGTGACAGAATTATTATTTTTTTTGACGTTAAAGAGCAGCTTTGAGAGATTACATGACTTTTCCAAGCGGCCTGGCTAATCAGGGGGCCTTCTGAGTGCCTGGTTCCTGATCCCTTTGCCTTTCCAGAGAGCATTGCAGTGACCATGGAACCTTCTGTTGGGTTGTATTACTTTAATGTCTTGGGGCCTATGGCACACTTAACATTCTGTGCCTCTATAAAAAATGAATGCTGTGGTTTTATGTGCTTGTGAGCAGTTTTTATGGGTTTCCTGCTTCCTCATTTGTTATTAGGACGTCAGCTAGCACTTCCCTTTACCCTTAGCGCTCCTGCTGCAGTGACCCTGGCCTGCCTTCTGTTATTTTAAATTTGTTGAGCACTTTAGAATTCACACCTGAATTCCAAATGTGTGGGAGGTACCCGAATTCTTCATAGATGATGCCAGGTGTATATTAGTGGTTTAAATGTTTACAGAATGCTTTGCCCTGTTTAATTGTTAACACAGGATCATACAACGTGAAACAATGTTAACCTAGGGTTTTTGGTATTCTTGCAAACGTGTTCAGGGTTTGTGGTAAATAATAGTACTACATTTTCTCTATTCTGTCATGGCAAATAAATTTGTTCCAAGATCAACCTGTAGCTAGTCCTGGAAAGGTACTCTGATTCAAGTGGAAAAGTACTCGGATTTACTCTTTGGAAAACAATCGCTGTGATCTACAGCCTCAATCCCATGATTGAGAATGTCTTTCCTTTTGGTTTTCTCTGTCTAGCTTAAGAAACACTCAGTTACTGAGATGCCATAAAGGAAAAAATATTAAGGAAAATTAGAGTAAAGCACCAGGAAAAAAAAAACATTTTTAAGACACGAAGGATAAGTTTACATGTACAATGACTTGGTTGATTTGGTAGTGTATAATGAAATTAAAACCATTTCTTCTAAGTGTAAACTACAGCCAAATTTATAAGTAAACTCAATGAACCAGGATTGTTTTTTAATACAAAATTTTAAGATACCAATTTGGACGTTTGGTTCACAAAAATTTAATTCTCCTTGTAAATGAAAATGACACTTATTTATCATCTCTCTTTTTAGTTAAACTATCTTTATAATTTTTCTGCCTATTGTAGAAGGCTGCTGGATTATATTAAAGAAAAAATACCTTAAAATTGTATAGTATTTGAGGACCTACTTCCTCCTTCTGTGGAGAAGTATGTATTCCATTGCATGGACAGCAAGAGAGCAAGGAAAGAGACCCACATTTATATTCATGGCAGGTGGGGTCATCTGAAGGATTTGAAGATGAGCGTATTAGTTTTCTAGGGTTGTGTAACAAAGTACCACAGAGTGAGAAACTAAAACAATAAAAATGTATGGTCTTGCAATTCTGGAGGCTAAAAGTCTGAGATCAAAGTGTGGGGAGAATTGGTTCCTTCTGAAGACTGTGAGGGAAGGTCTATTCCAGGGC